TTTCCCCTCCAGGACACACAAAGTCGCAGGTTTTCTTCCCAGGCTCCGGTCGAAGCCTTTGTCCCTCCTCTACCTTAGGTTTCCTTCCCTTACGCTCAGTCTCCTCCAGGAAACTTTCCCAAAATTCCTGGTCTGCCTCGTCTCCCACGGGCAGCCAATTTTGTTCCTCAACAAACCTGTCTGGGACCGGGCAGTGCTGCCTCGTTACCCCGATATTTTCAAGCATTTTTAGTCAGCGTATGCCACTGGACCACCAGCAGGGTTTGCTGAATTTTTAAAAAAGAAGCTGGGCAGGGCAGTGGCGCATGCTCTCTGGGGCATTCTGGAGAGTTGTACCTTAAATCTAAGGCCATTCATACTGACTCCTGGCGTGTCTTGGCACTTCTTTCGGGAAAGAAGGCGAGGAACCCTTTAGCTAGAGATCGCCTACCTAAGAGTAGCTTTTCCTGTTGTTGGGAGAAAAAAAATTACACAGCCACACTGGGTGTTGATCCAGGAGATTTTATGGGAGGTTAGGAAGGGCAGGCGCCGGCTAGTCTCCCTTGGGCGCGGCCTTCACCCTCATCTCTGCCAGTTTGTGGGTGAGGAAACCCCACTTGAAGCCTGCCGCGGGGTCCACCTCCGGTGTCTCGGGGCACTCCGTGTCCTCCTCGGCAGGCTTGTCCCGGCGATCTGGGTCCGGTTCAGCCGTGCTGTCCACGCCGCGCAGCATGGACGCCGCCGCCTGCTGCTGCTGCTGCCATCTGCTGGCGAACACGTCCCAGAATCCTGGTCCGCGCGGCTCTGTCTCGGCTGCGGCCGCCTGCGATGAGGGGGGCGCCGCCAGCGGGCTACAGGAGAGGCGGGGGTCAGCGGGCTGGCCCGAGGTTCCAGAAGGGGACAGTGTGCAGAAGAGACAAGAAGTGTAGTCAAGGGAGTTGGGGCAAGGTCAGGGTTCAGAGGCTCCGGGGCTCAGTGGAACAGGGTCAGAAGAGGAGCTGAGAGGGCTGGGCAGAGGGGAACAGGATTCCCCTTCCTCCGTTGGAGACAACGGAGACAAGCAGGGTCCGGAAAGCCAGGGAAGATCTCTTAAGAGGGGAAGAGCACGACAGAGAGTTGGGGTGGGCTTGTTTAGGCCCATAAGAACACCCCCCCAAGGGGGGCGGGAGGAGCGGACAGGAGACTGCTGGGCGAGCCAAGTGGTTAGGGAAAGAGGAATTAGGCACGCGGGAGAAAGTGGAGGGAATCCTAGCACAGATGCCTCAGGAAGAAGAGGCAGAAGCTGAAGGGCTATCAAGGACGGATGGCAATGCCCAAAGGAGTCTCGTCTCTGGAAAAGTCCTGGGATAGGAAGGCAATGGAGGTTAGGGGGTGGGGAGCAAAGGAGCCCCTGGGGCCAGAGTAAAGGGTGGGGGAGGGGTAGAGCAGAAGGCAATATGATGGGCAGGTGTTCAGTTCTGAAGGAAAAGGCAGAGGGAGATGAGGCCCTAGGTCTGTTCTCAATATCCAAGACCGTATAAATCAGTGCTTTCCAAACTGGTGTGCCTTGGGGTCCTCTGGGGTCCTCAGGCCTCCAGGTACACCACGAGAATCAGTGGAAGGGAACCTATGTTGGTGACAGTTGCTGTGGAGGGTGAGGCTTTACCACTCTGTTGCAAGTGCCTAAAAAGGCCTTCTCTGTTCTCCTGGGTTCTAGGGAGTTGGCAGTCCTGAGGAAGAGGGAGGAGCCACCCATAAGGACTTCCCTCAGTTCCAGGAGATCTAACCCTGCTATATCCTGCCTGATAAGAAGACAGAGCCTGCGGGTGTGTGTGTGTGTGTGTGTGTGTGTGTGTGTGTGTGTGTGTGTGTGTGTGTGAAGAACAGAGCAGAGGGAGCCAGAAAAAGAGATCTTAGGACCCTTCCAGCCCCACCTACTAAGGCCACACACATACTGGTCAGCATAGGGCTCTGGTGACAGCAGTTTGTCCTCGTCTTCTTTGTTAAACAGAGATGACATTGTCAGCCAGCCTTTCACCCCAACCCCCTGAACCTGGGAGGAAGGAAAGAGCTGAATGTCAGGAATGAAGGCCACCAAACCTCCTGGGGCTTTAACACAGCCTCTGCCAGGCTTCCCAGGGTTGGGTGAAAGCCCGGGAACTCACCCTTCGAGCCAGCTGTGACATGGGGTTGAAGGCCTCCTCCGAGGGTTCTGCCATCTCAGACTCCACTAATGCTGGGTTCTCCCTCTAGGACACAAGACCCCCCAGCATGAGAGAAGGCCCGTTACTAGCCAGCCGGTGCACACACGTTAAAGGGTCTACATACCACAGAAGCACAACCCTCCTATACACCCACTTTGCATCTCCACTAGGGCACAGGGAAATGCTCACAGGTATACTACATAATGCCCCTGGTCACATACACAGGGCTGCACAGTAAATTTCTGCAGACACCCTTGAGCATATACACATGCCCACTCCCACACATACCCAAACACACTCAAAAACTCGGACAAGGGCACACGATGCATAGGACTTCAGACGCACACCTGTACGTGAGCATGCCTCTTTGTGGCTACACCTTTCCTTCTGTGTACAGATGTATGTGCTGTCTGGCACTCACACAAGGACACTCGTGGGGTTAAACAATCCACTCCTGTAGCTTATCCTCCTGCAGGCAGATAGCTAAACAGAGGCCTTGGCAGAGCATTCAAATTTTCCCTACCAACTAGATGCATCACCTGCAAATGCCTAGATGAAAGCATACAGGTACAGAATCCTGCTCAAAATGCATGTCCATGACAAATCACAAAAGCCAGTTCACTGCACTGGTGTTTCCACAGAGACAACAGTTGTAGCATTTTCCCTATGGAGGCACCCATAGAAATCCAGCCCTGGATGCCAACCTGTCTAGGCATATGCTCATCCACCCTCTCACTAGTTCCCGCCCCTGCCACATGTTTGTGTGACTGCCATTTATCACAACTTCTAGACACAGACTCCCAGTTTCCAAGTCCTCTTTGCCCTCTCTGCCAGAACTAAGTACAATCTAAGTACGGCTTTGATGGAATGTTGCTTCTGTGGACCACAGAGTATAAAAACTACTTTCTTCCTGCCTCTGCAAGCAAGAGCTCATTACCTCTCTAGACAAACCATCTCTGCTTAGTCTGCTTAGCTTTGTCCACTAGAAAGCTGTGGCAAGCTTCATGTACTTTTGTGGCTACTGCCAAGTGGCATTAGAACAATCTTTATCTTACAGCGGTTCATGAGCTCCTTGGAAGTCCATGACTGCTTCTCTGGCCACCCTAGCTCTTCCTTTCCTTGTGTTTTTGAACTTCTCCATCATTGCACCATGCTGTTTGTAATCCCTGATTGTGCCTACAATCTTTGCATAAATGAATTTGTCTCCCTCCCAAGCTTATTTAATGATCTTTATACCCCCCCACACACACACACACTGTCTCTCTGTTCTAGAAAACATGGCCAGTACCCACCTCCTCTGCCAGGTCCTCTTCAGATTCTCCACCTAGAGTCTGCAGCACTTTGGACTTGTAAGCTTTCCAGAAAGCTTGGTTCATGGCTGCAGGGGAAAGGAGCCTGGCACCAGGCACAGAAGGTGGTAGCTCAATGGGCACCAGTGGGTCTGGTTCCAGAAACTTGGAGGAACCAAGAGCCTGTCCCAGGGATCCGGTGACTTCATGAAAGATGTACCATTCTCCCTGGCTGGCACGGTGCCGAGCAGGTAAACCCGATCCCAATGGGTCCCAATGATTCTGGGGTTGGGGCAGGCTTATTCCACCTCCGCCCCTTGTCTTGACCCATATTGGCTAAGGTTAATGAAGAGAGCACTTTGGAGAGTCCGTTTTCCTGCATTTAGGAATGTAAATGGCTGTTCATCTCTTAGAATAGCTGCACGAAAGTTTTCCACTCAATTTTTTTAGTTCAGGACCCACACCTGTAAATCCTATGATTGTAATCATATTAGCGGTCTTCCTCGGGGTCCCACCCTGTGTCTCTCCTCAGCCTTTGTGAGCTGGAGTGGGGAGTATGGAGGTCCCCAGGCCTCCAGTCAGCACTCTGGGCTCCCATTTCACTGCTTTGTCTGGCCTAGAAACCTGTTCTCCCCAGGGATGCACATGCCATCTCCCTGTTTCCTGGCAACTGCAGGAACCCTGAATTATTGCTGAGATCCTCTGCCCCCATACCATGGAGTTGGCTCTGGCCAGCCTGAGTGGCACCAGGCCAAAATGAGAGAGGAGAGGCTCTCTGGCCCTCTCCCTACTCTGAGAACACATTTCTTGGTTATTACCCCTTTTCCTGACAGCCCTCTCTTGGGAGCCTGGGCCCCAAGAAAGAAAGCAGAGATGTGGGTTCTTCTAGGGATTTTCCTCTTGGGCTGGGGAGGTGGCCTGCCTGTTAGACTGTCTGCCTGGCATCTATGAGGCTCTGGATTCCATAACCAGTACTGAAAAACCAAACAATCAATCACCCAACCAAACCAGAAGAGCTGACCACTCTTCAAGTTTGGAATCCCTAGGTACTAGGTTCTTTGGGAAACAGTACTCCATTCTTTGCCCCATGGATTTGCCTGGGAGTAGAGGGAAGACAGAAGAGACATAGGCCCAAGAAAATAACGGTGGAAAGACAAGGAGAGGCCCTTTGTTAGAGCCTAGGGGTACCTCTGAGTACCTCCAACCATGATTCCAAACTTATTCTCATTTATGAAATTATTTATTCATGGCACGGTGCTTTCCAGAGACGTTGGAAGTATCCTCTACAACTGAAATCCGAGGTGTGGAAAACGGGAAGTGATGATGTGGCTGACAGAGTTGCAGGATCTGCCTCCCCTCCCCTCTGGCCCGCCCCTACCCCTCAACGGACAAGTCACTATCATCCACGACCACCTGGGGGCGCTCAAGCCACTAGCCCGTCCGTGACGTCATCAGAGGCTGTCCGGGCTATCCTGCTCCGCCTCCGGGCGGACCTCTCGTGACGTCATTGAGCGGCCCGGAAGCGCCAACACGTGTGGGTCCTTCTCTACTCCTTTGATCTTGTCACTGATCATGGGTCGCTCCCGCAGGACCGGCGCGCACCGAGCACATTCCTTAGCCCGCCAGATGAAGGCCAAGAAGCGGCGGCCAGACCTGGATGAGATTCACCGCGAGCTGCGGCCACAGGGGTTCCCGCGGCCCAAGCCGGAGCTGGACGCCGAGCCCGACCCGGACCTGCCAGGGGGCGGCCAGCATCGCTGTTTAGCCTGCGCGTGAGTCCAGCCTGGGGTGGAGCAGGGTCTGAGATACTAGCCCATAGTGGTGAGATCCTGGCGGCGAGCTGCGCGGGGTCACCTGCCTTGGGACCTGTGGGTCAGCTCGCCTCCCATCTCTTCGCGCTCGGAATCTGATGTTCGGGAACGAGTTAGGGCCAGGGAGGTAGGCATACCTGCAAGGCCTCGCCTCTTTACTCTTCCCCTCACCCTACATCCCTGCAGGAGGTACTTCATTGATTCCGCCAACCTGAAGACCCACTTCCGATCCAAAGACCATAAAAAGAGGTATGAAGGGGTCAGGAGAGGGTTGGTGGATGGGTGCCATGCAGGTAGGTGTTGCACCTGATCAGCTCCAAACTCCTATTCTTCCTCCCAGGCTGAAGCAGCTGAGCATCGAACCCTACAGTCAGGAAGAAGCTGAAAGGGCAGCGGGCATGGGCTCGTATGTACCCCCCCAGCGCCTGGGTGTACCGACAGAAGTGTCCACTGAGATCCCTGAGATGGACACATCCACCTGAGCTACCTGAGGATGCAGGGCAGAGAAACTGCCCATGGACAGTGGTTCAGTGGCTAGGCTGAATGTGTACTTTGGGTTTTGGGGAGATGATCTCCCTGGGTGTTCTGCCCAAAATAAAGGACCTGTACAAGAGGGCATACCTCGTATTCTAACTTCCCTTCCAGTCCTGTAAGGATCTCTGAGCCAAGATGTTTATTCCCTACTAGGTCCAGCTTTGGAACCCGTCCCCCCCCCCCCCCCCACACACACACCTTCTTCTGGGACGGAGTCTAGGTACAGTGTAAAATTGGGGAGTAGAATCAGGTTTAGTCTGTTTCTGGCGATAGTAGAGACTGATCTCCATAGGGGAAAAATGTGCATTTCTGAAATTGCAGCCCCCTGCCTTGAGTCACCTACCTCCAAGCCTGGGTGAGAGGCTACCTGCCTCATCACGGGGCCTGTGATGGTTGCCGCTGCTTCACCATCTTCCAAACGGCATAACAGGAACCACCTAAGCCAAGGACAGCCAGCAGTGTAGCCACAATGCCCACCAGCGGACTCCGGGGCTCTGCCTTTAGCTCCCCAGCTACCTGCATCTGGAAGAATACACATGAAGGGTCAACTGGAAATTCTAGGTAGGAAGAGGAAAAGATGGTGCTGCTGGGTGGAGACAATATGGATGCCATTTCTGCCCCAGGGAGATTCCACCACAGTCCCTCTCGCCTCAGTGCCCATCTGGGTCCTGGCTAGTCAGGCGGCAGGAAACGTGACAGTCTGGCCATTGGGGGTATCAGCCCCACCATGAGAGGGGGAGGAAGAAGATGATGGTGTAGAAAGCCAGTATTTAGATGATGTACTTACCTGTAGCACCCGGAAGTAGCCAGGGGTCAAGCGTCGAAATCTCATAATGGGGGTGGCTGGTCTCCTGTCAGCCTGTGGAGTCGAGCAGAAATGAAGACTAGATGTTGCCTGGGGTACCAAGAGATGGAGGCCAGGGCATAGGAGTCCCTGACCTGTTTAGCCTGGGCACTATGTGCACAGAGGATGCTCACAGCTGCTGGCTCGCCCAAGTCTGCCAGGGGGCAGGGCAGCTGGATCTTTAAATCTGGTCCCTTCCCCCCTGCCTTGCCAGCCTTAGGAGCAGCTGTCAGGAGAGATCAGCATCAGGCCTGAGAAGCAGCTCCTCCCCCACTCACCAGAGAGACCAGGCCAGGCATGTAGGCAAAGCCTCGGCTGGCAGTGCCCACGAGTTCAGGCATCAAACAGGTACTGGGCAAGCTTCCTCAGCCCTGGTCTGGACTGCACTGCTACGGTGGATAAGTTGATGTTACCAGTCAGCATTCAGCAAAAGAGACTATGTGACTTGTCAGCCACTTTTCCATTTGGGTTCCCTCCAAGTAGTTTCCACAAGAACTTCTCTTGTGTGGCTTTAAAAAAGAATTGCTTAAAAGAGAGAGAATTGCTTATGCAGGTATAATTGTTCATAATGTATTGTTACTTTTTTTTTTTTTTTTTTTTTCCTGAGACAGGGTTTCTCTGTGGCTTTGGAGGCTCTCCTGGAACTGTTCTTGTAGGTCACAGTGGCCTTGAACTCACAGAGATCCTCCTGCCTCTGTCTCCCAAATGCTGGGATTAAAGATGTGTGACACCACCGCCAGGCTTGTTATTTATTTATTTATTTTTTTATTACATCTGTTTTCGTGTTTGTAAACACCAGTGTGACAGTGTGACAGGTCAGAGGACAGCAAGTGAGTCCAGGGTGTCCAGTTCAGCTCAAAAGGCTTGGTAGCAAGAGCCTTTTTGACAACCTTTATATTAAAAGATTAATTAAAAAGTTAGTCTCTGTGTCATTGTTCCAAGCAATTTCTGGGTATTTTGTAATTTCAGTCTTTTTATTTTCTTGAGACAGGATCTCTACATAACCCTGGCCATCCTGAAATTAGGTAGACCAGGTGAGCCTTGAACTCACAGAGATCCACATGGCTCTGCCTCACAAGTGCTGGGATTAAAGGCATAAGCCATCACACCTGGCTTTTTGTTCTCTATGAAAATGACAAAAAGAAAGATTTTCAGAATATTGTGCAGAATCTCTGTATAGAGGATGAGAGGACCGGAGGGTGTGTACCACAGTGACTAAGCGTCTTTAATCCCAGCGTTTGGAAGGCAGAGGCAGGCAGTCTGGTCTACAGAGCTAATTGCAGGACAGCCAGGGCTGTTACACTGTAAAAACTGTCTGGAAAAACCAAAAAATAAAGAAGTTTTATTGGAAGTGCCTAAATGGGTCTCTCTACATAGTTCCTGGCTGTCCTGAAACTCAAAATGTAGAACAGGCTGGCCTGGAACTCATTGAGTCTGCCTACCTTTGCCTTACCAAGTGCTGGGATTAAAACTATAATCCTAAAAATTGTTCTGTGCTTTTTAAAAAAAGGTTTTTGGGTGCTGGGGTGTTTGCCTGTATATATGTGTATGTATCGTGTGCATGCAACTCCTGAGGAGGCCAGAAGAGGGCACCATATCCCCTGGAACTGGAATTAACATGGTTTTTGAGTCAAATGTAGGTTCTAGGAATTGAACTGGGGTTCACTGCAAGAGCAGCCAGCTCTTAACTGCCCAGTCATCTCTCCAGTCTCAGTTGTGCTATTCTTTAAGAGCATTGTTCTAGCTGGCTCTGTGATGCAAATCGTGGTTCCTTTTGGGGGGGGGGGGGAGCGATGGCAGGAGAATCACCTGAATCCATGATTTGGAGAGCAGGCTGAGCAACACAGGAAGAATAAAAAGCACCTCAAAAATTTTAGCATGAAGCTGAGCAGTGGTGGCACACACCTTTAACCCCAGCACTTGGGAGGCAGAGGCAGGTGGATCTCTAACTTTGAGGCCAGCTTGGTCTACAGAGTGAGTTCCAGGACAGGCTCCAAAGCTACACAGAGAAACCCTGTCTTGGGAGGAGGGGGGATTGTAGAAAGAATAATAAGTGCATTCAGAAGGCAGCTAATGTGCCTGCCAATGTCTCTCCAGGGGAATGGTTGGTATGTTTCCTCTTCATTTGTAAGCAATAAAGGCTGTTTGTGCCCTAAAATAATAACTGAATTAATGAAAAGTTTTACTTTGGGATAGGGCCTCTAATTCTCAATAGACTGTCAGAGTGCAAAAGGAGGCAGAGTCCCATGCTGAAGATTATTTGCTTAGTTTTAGTTTCTGCTGTTTTCATTTTTGTGTTTTTGAAAGGGGCTCACGCTGTAGCCCAGGTCCTCCTTGAACTTTGAGCCATTCACACTGCCTCAGCTTCCAGAGTCCCAAGATTACAAGCAAGAATTACCACAACCCTGTTGTAAACATTTAAAGCCATTTGCTCGGATACTCACAGATGTCCCATGAATCAAGGACAGTTATGCTCTAGAAATGAGCACCAGGTCAGTTGTCTGTGCAACAACTCCGGATGGCAATAACAAGAGATACCACGGGGACCCTGGGGTGGAAGGGCTAGTCATTAGTCATGCACTGTTCTGCGCCAATTACAGACCAGGTTCACTTGTTTGGGTGCTGATAAGTCAAACTCGCAGGCTAACATAAGGGGCCAGTTTTTTGTTTAGTTGTTTTAAAACAAAGCATCCCTACACAGCCCTGGCTAACCTGGAACTCAGCTGTGTAGATCTGGCTAACGTTAAACTCACAGGGATCCTCCTGGTGAGGACAGTTTTGGACTGAATCTCATGCCATTTCCGGACCGTCCGAGTCACACCCCCGTGGCGTCAGCCCTGGGACTAGCTGCCAAAGTCCTAGGATGCTAAAGGGGCAGGGCACGCGGAAGACAGACCGTGGGCCAATGGCAATCGCTGTCCCTCACCTGGGTGGCCACGTGGGCCCAGGTATGCGGCGGCCCCGCCCTGGCCCAGCCCGGCGGGCTCCGGGCTGGATCTGGGAGCGGAAATTACTGCAGGGGCTGGACACCGCGGGCGGAGCTCAGCATGGAGCCGGTGGAGGCCTGGACCCCCGCGAAGGTGGCAGCTTGGCTGAGAGGTTGGTGACCCCGGGGCAGAAGTGGATTTGAAGGGAATGGTGTGGTATCCCTTAGGCAGAAAGTAGGGAGGGAAAAAGGAGAAAGAACCTGCCGCCGAGTCTATTAGTCAACAGGTATTTATAGAGCTTCTGCTGTCTGCCATGTATAAGACAGTGTACCAGGTCCCCTGAATAGGCACCGTGTTGACGGAGATAGGCCAGGAGACACGAGAAGGGGTCTTTCCATATATTTGTGTGTTCAAGCGCCTTCCAGGGTGGCGACAGGCAGGTACAGCACTAAGCTAAACAGGGTGCCCTGGTGGCCCACGCCCCCTTTATTTCCGTCATCTTCCCTGTGCCCCAGGGCCCTGTGAGCTGTTTGTTAAGCCCATTTTTCGAAAGTACAAGCATGCACACAGTCAGGAAGTGATTTGTTCAGTCTTGGAACAGGGCTGGCCCTGGTGTCCTTTCCCCTCTCCTCAGCCTGAGGTTGACAGCCATTCTGAAGGGGGTGACACAGTTCCATGCTGGGGTTTCCATCAGAGCAAACACCACTCCCCAGGCGACCCAGAGACAAACACAGGCAGACTCAGAGAAATGGGGGCCTTTGTGGCTACAGCAGGGGGTGGAGAGACCAGTTATTGCTCTGACAGCGGAGGCCTTTTCAGTGTGAGCAGCCCAGTAGAACTGCAGTCACACTCCCAGACTGGGGCCCAGGCCAGCACTGACACCCACCAGGTTTGTGACCACAGATCTTAGTTTCTCTATTCATGAACGAGGCAGAATGAGGCCATGGTGGTATGACTGGCATGTGTAGCTCCATGTTGGTGTCTTCTGGAAGGGAGTTAGTCAGCCTGACACATTCAATGTGGGAAGGAAGTTGTCCAAATAACCCTGGCTTGTTGAGCTCCCAGTTAGGACTCTTAATGCTGCAGGAGGAATGAGGAACACCTAATGACTACACACATTCCCCAGTGACTGTCTGGCCTGGTGGGGTGGGAGGCTTTCTTCCAAAGCATGAGCAAGCCGCTACCTCTCCCTCCGTTGGCTTTCCCTGTTGTGTGTCAGGGATGATGTATAGTCCCCACCTTCTAGAAATGTGGAGATCAAATGTGCCAATATGGGTAAAGTTTGTTTCATTTGTTTGTTTTTGAGACAGGGT